ACTTTCATAGAGAGGCTCTGGGAAAGATATTTTTACATATGGCATTAATTCTGGGAACTTTAATAATGGCCAAATATAATTAAAAATTATGCAAAAATTCCTGCCATGAAGAGAGCAGTACAGAAACGACTCTGTTTGAAGAAAAAGCAATCGTTTGCTCATATTCTGAGTCCAGAAAAAAACAAAACACACGTGGTACTTTTTTAATATTTGAACTACATCAGGCCCAATTCTGCTCCTATGTGAAGCGAGTGGCTAAACTCCAAAATGCAGCAGGATTGAGCCCCTGATGTTGTCACAAGCATTCAAATAAACAAACAGGGCTGTAACACATTCTAAGCTTCCACTGTGTTCCTCTAAATGGATCCAGACAGAAGAAGAAAAGCGCATTTCATTGCATTTTTGCAACACAAGGATAACAACAATGTACAATTTTATATTATATAGAATTCACCCTCTTAAAGTATAATCATACAAATGTCCAAAGAAAAACAGATTCAAAGAGTCAAGAAAGCTTTTATGCATGAATTTGGAGGACATATTTCTACCAAATCTGATAGGGATGTCTGATCTTGCTGAGCTTCTAACATCACTTTTTCCTCTGGACTTTCGTAAAGTGCATGATGTCATAGGGATGTTTTCACACGACCCAAACCTGGGCATCTCACATAGTCAGCTAAATCCCCTAGGCTCTTTTACAGACAATAAAAAGAGCTGTCACTGTTCTGAATAATCCTCAGGGGAACGTAAGGTAAGTCTCTGCTCTCAGTCTCTTCAGCGACTCTAAAAGCAACTGCAGAATCTGTAACTCACTCCAGTTATTCAGCATTAAAAGTCAAATGGCGTAAAGATGGCATCCAGTTTTTAACTAGTTGAAGAAATTTTGCTTTGCTTGCATCTTCATTTTCTGTTACCTGTGATTTCTTTTCATTAACATTATGACTAAATGATATGCTAAAAGCTGAGTACACCTCTCAGATCTTAACCTACTCTGAAAGCTTGGGCCAAAATCCGGCAAGGCCCTTAAGCACTTGCGTAATTTTAAGCATATTGGCATGTCAGGTTTGAATTTAAATGCATGTCAAAGCCCATCACTGGATTGCAGCCAGAGAACTCAGCACCTTCCAGAAGGAATCCTTGAAGTTCACATTTTAACTGAGCCAATATCCATGAAATATTTTCCTTTCTGGGCTATGTATTTTAAATGCGCCTTAAATTGCTGTAAGAAGCATTTCCAACTCCACTACACTTTTACTGGTTAGCTTATATCAAGTTCACCTTTTTGATGAACATTATCCCACAGAAAAGCCAGGTCTGCTGTACTTATGATACACCTGCATACACTTGACAGTACGCCCAGGAGGCTTCCCCTGCTCTGGAAAGGTGCCAAACACCGTACACAACAGCTTAGGAGCTAATGATGCATGTGTACCACTTTCGACCATGCTACAGTTATCAGTCCAGCTCTGATGAAGCATATCTCACCAGTGACGGGGTACACACTCCCAGAATATGAAGAGGAACTCCACTGATAATAATGAATCTAAAAATCCCTTTTGCTCATGTTTATAGTGTTTTATACCATCATTAACACTTCTAAGACACACAAAAAGCAATTTGTGTGCCAAAATTGTCCAAGGCCAGCTGCTTCCCCCTCAAAGAATGACTGAATAAATACATAAAAGTACTCATGCCACAAATTTGATGGAGTTTGCTGCACTGTGAAAGCAGCAGGTCTTTCACCAGATAAAGCCCGTTCATTGTGCATGTATTTGAAGCTATTGACCTACACAGAAGTCTTGTAGGTCTTCATTAACAATCATATGGTCAGCATTTACTGAGGTAATACCAATCAGGCTAATTTGTATTACAAATATGGACCAAATGTACGGAACAAGTACTTAAAACAGTAGACATAGAACTACACAACTTGCCTCTGGATGTAAGAAACCGGCTCCAACTTTGCTACAACCACCTGCAACATTTTAATTGTTTTCCATACCAGATTACTGGAATAACCCCCATGAATCTGGTTGCCTCAACACTGTTTTATTCAAGACAGTTCTAAGCTACGACATATGCAGCAAAGGCTGGAATATTCTTTGTTCTGTGACATACGTGCCACAAACACTCTGTGACTGTTACTATTAGTTGATGCTTGTAGAGAAAAGCACTGCGTGATACGCAGCAGTAAATTACTTACATCACTGTTAGCTTGTGGCATGGCATAATCCAGAAGTCAAACCACAGCCAAACAGATGGAGAATGTGCATGCCACAAAACCGTATCTCTTCACATTGCATTTATATCCAGAAATGGTGTTTTCAAAACAATCTGCCTCTCCCACTTACCCCAGAAATGGGATAGTTTAAGAGACTATTTCTCTTGAGTAATTTCCCGCTTTTTCCCCCCTCCACGCATAGAGATGCTTTGGGTTTGTTTTGTTCTCCTCCTTCCCCCCCCCTTTTTTTTTCTTTCCAATAAAGACACAGTTTTACTCTACAAAGCATGAATTTTGTCAATTTACTGGATAACATCCATCCACATATACATCAGAAGTCCACCAGGGAATGTCACAAATCCACATAACTTTCCAAAGCTAGATTCAAAATACGGACCTCTTACTTAGCTGACAGATGTGTAAAATTATATGCAGCCAGACAACTCCCTAATGACCACACAGGTGCATGTGCTGAACAATGCAAGTTATTCTAAGACCAACATTAGCTTATACTTGAAAAGTTATCTTCAGAAAAAAGTTTTTCTGATGGCCTAATGCAATTCTGGGACCAAAACCCACCACACCCTTTTAAGAGGAGGGGAACATATTAGCTCAGCTAGGTAGAGAGGCTGCAGGAAATCTCTGTAGAAGAAGCCAAATTTCAGAAGTTTTCTAGGAAGATATGACTATCATTTGGCCTCAACACTGCAGTGAGTATTAGCCAGAAATACTACAGCTCATTAATGTCTATTTTCTCTTTTATTGATAACTATAGAATCAAACACATGTTCTAAGTAAAAACTGCGTATAGACAAGGCATATAAGTCACAGATTTCCACCTCAATTGTGCCATTGTAACATGCATGCGATTCCATGACCACGTGATTTGGCTCAAATGGCTCTGTGTCATCAGTTTCTCACTCCACCCAACACAAGGCAGGAGCTCTGAGGGACAGGACTGAAGCTGTTAGCTTCAGCCTTGAAACTTGCCCTAATGAGGTGGAGTCAAACTGGTCCCAGATCAGGCAACATAAAAGCACCATGGAAAAATCTTCTTCTGAACTTGCACTTTACACCTCCTCACTGGACTGAAGGTCCTCAAATCCTTCACCCATGGAGAACAAGCAGTCATTGCGTGAAATTCAAAGCCTTTGCAGTAATATTCAGTACATTCTTTACCTATAAAGCCTTATGATTTTTAACCTAATTTTCCATTCCTCTTACTCCTCTCCAGCAGTGAGATCCCTAGACTCAGAACAGAGCTACTTTTCAATCTTCAGAAAAACTTTACCATCAGTTTGAACTACTTTTACAACATTTGAGTGGACAACTGGCAAGGCTTCGCACAGTGCCAATACAGCAATTTCTCTGCTGTAGGGAGTGCAGGAAATACCTGCTTCATCTTACCGTCTGCTCTAGCACAGAATGAAAAGTTTTGGTCCCCCAAGATTTGTTGCTCTGCATCACCCACCTATGCTGCCCATATAAAAAAGCCAACCATTACTCCAGGTGCAGCACCAACAGCAGTGATCATCTGTCACGCTCACTGACAGAAATTTCATGTGCTAATCACATCCCCTACATGCAAGCCCAAAATCAGGTTATTAATGTCTATTCTGTCCCAGCTTCATAGATATATAATGCAACCTATTGTATGAGTATTATGCATGAATTTCCAACTAAACAGATCAACTGATAGCTCTAATAAATGAAAATGTTTTATTTTTAATATTACAAAATTCAACAGAAGGATTATACCTAAACATTGTTCACTATATCTCTCTCAAATGAGCCATTAAATTGGTTTAATAACCCTGAAAAAAATCCTTATACCAGATAAGACAGTTGGTATAGCTGTGTTTTCATCTGGAAACAGTTGTGATTATCACTATGGATACGCAAATAAAAAGCTAAAATTGATAACAATAAATCTGTACAAAATGGAAAGAAGAACTGAATAAACTCTGCCAAAACAAAACATGCCAAAGACAGAGGCAAGATGCTCCTTATCATTGGCAAGCAAATGTATCAGAGATACAAAGAGCTTTTCTGATGACGTAGAAACTGAAGTTTGAGTAAAAACACTTATCAATATTTCTTACTTGCCACCTCTTCCATTGGAGTGTTTTCATAGCAAAAAAGTAAACAAAAGAAAGGCCTTAATCAGTTGCATGTGTGTTTCATCCTGGCCTCTATCCTTATGAAGCTCACATATTGCTAAAAATGCTACTTAAAATTTATTTTCAGCCTTGAGACTAACAAAAACAAATCCAATTAATTCAACTATAGATTAGAATACGCAATGGCTTGACAACCCTACTGTTAAGAGTAAATAAATGGGGATTTTTGCCCCAGGAAAAGAAAACAACACTTGGTAAACCTACCATGAACTGAAAAACTAACCATTAAAATCATACCAATCAACGCTTGTAATATAAAAAAATCAAAAAAAAGAAGATAAGATTGAATGTTTGTTTTTAAATCAATGATAAAGTTTTCTTTCTCACTAAAAATGCCATTTAGGAAAGTTGTTACCATTTTAATTTGTGTTATTCCATAACTAATATCTCCACAATTTTCCTAGACTGGAGTTTTCCTTTCAGTAAAGCTTCCTTACGTTGCATTTTACAAGACTGTTAATTCTATCTTACTTTATTCATAGACAGCAATAAAATATTACTATTTAAATATTTGATTTCTTATTACTATTTAAGTATTCTTAAGTTACTATTAAGCAAGTTGGAACATCAATTTTTTTCCACAGTTTTAAGGCACATACCTCTTTCACACTGGGGTCCAGTAAAGCCATATGTGCAAGCACATCGGTTCGGAGCCACACATCTCCCTCCATTTAGACATCCATTTTCACAGACAGCTGTACCAGGGGGAAGACAAAAGTAATCTTTATTGAGCTATTTCCAGAAAGACATGAAGGTATGTACTTGACCAGCTCAGGTAAACTGGTAAAAATGGTAAACATAACAGGACAGGATATTTTATTTTCCAGAATCTCCTTATGATCTTTTCCTATTTCCTGGCCTCATTAGTATCATGAATTCATCTTTTCAAGGGAGCATAATATAAATACAGTAACAATCACAGCTCTTCTGACCTCTCAAAGCCTTTCTCTTTGGGATGGCTAGACAATTCCGTAACTTCAAAATAACATCTCTTTCAAACTTTCAATAAAGAAACACTGAAATAGTAGAGATTGCAGATAGAAGGTGCAGAAGAAAATTTCATTTCTAGATCTTCAAAATTTTTCCCTATTTAGAAGCAAATTTTAAAATGTATTTGTTCCTTTACCATAATAGAAAAACAATCCACTATTAAAAGGCTGTTTGCTGATGTTAAATAACTCATGCTATCAAATAGGACAGCAAAATGTAATCAATATCTATTTTGACTAAGTTAATCCAAGATACTCTTCCCCGAACGATGATGTCACTAGATTCAGAACCCAATTTTCCTCATAATAAACTCCAAAAGCAGTTGCTCTCAAAAATAATTAGTAAATATAACATTCATATGAAAAAGGGCTTTTAAATACAATTTGATGCTCATTGAGTAATGTTATTCTTTGTTCCGTTTCACATTCACTTCAGTAGAAAGAAGGTTTCCATTTATCCTCTTTTATCCACTTGATATTTCACAGAGAAGGCAGAAATACAGTTCTTAATCCTTTCACCATGTGATCCTCTTCCAGATTATTAGAGTAAATTCCTGGTCCCACTGAAGTTCATGTAAAGTGTGCCGTTGATTTTGACAGAGCACAAAAGGTTTTCATTAAATGAGCTAAACACATTTTCTTTGTCAGACCAATAGTTCACTAGATAGCAACATGACAGCCTTGGTTAAAGGCAGTGTCTACATCCTTATTTGAGTTTCTTCACAGCATTCCAGCCAAGAAGAGCAAGAGACCACCAGAGTCAGTTTGGGAGAGATTTCAAGCAGCGGATCCAGGAATGCTGTTGGCTCAGGATTGATTGAGGAAATCAAAAATATGCCGATCAACATTAATGAGAAAGCATCAAAATGAGCAAAATTCCTAAAGCATATTAGCTAAGTCTGAAGCAAACCCCTGAAATTAAAACAAGGCTTTGTATTAAAAAGCTTAATTTTGTCTATAAGATGAAAACTGAATCCCACGTAAATTCTAAATGTATGGCCTGTTGCTCTAAGTGGAAAGCCCTAGAGGTTAATGGGAATTTTATGGTAGTGTGAGAACTACAGGATCAAGTTATATCCAATTATTATGAATTCACATGATGTTTATTTTAATAGTCCTGATCAGAAAGCATTCACTCAGCATTCATTACAAAGTCATGTGTTTTCCTGTAAATTTCCACTGTACCTGATCAAAAACAAGCTCAACAGCAGCTGAAATTTAGTGCTAAAGGGTGCCCAATCCACACATCCCAGAATTACTTAATGATACACAGTATCTACATGAATAAAAGTGTACTTACGCTGTCCACAGTGTGTTCCTGTATATCCCTTCTGACAGAGGCAATGGTCATCACTGCAGCTACCTCCATTCATGCACCGGATGTTACAGTGTTGTACTTAAAAGGAAAAAAGATTTTCCTCAGTTAAATCAAACCACAGAATTTGTCTCCTAGTTTCTCATCTCTCCAATGATGAGAAAAGGCCATCAATAAGGGAAAAGTACTAAACTTCTGGCATGAGTGTCTTATCATCTGGGCAATGGGGGAAGGAAGTATTAAAGGGAAGCATATAAGGAAGCTCCTGAAGACAGCCCGATTCTGCCAACACATGCAATACCAGAAGCTGATCTGCCCAGGTAGGACTTCTTGCATGAAAAGGAAAAATAACAGACCAATTTCTTTCTGTATGCCATCTGTGGGCTCAGCCCATCTCCAGGTAAAGTTGCTGCTGGCTGCTATGCTTGGGGGCTGCGGAGCTCATAGACAGCATTTCCCAGAGCCAACAACCTTCCCCTGCAAGGAGCAGAGGCAGGGGAGCAGCAGCACGCTCTCCTCAGCTGCAGCCCCACCATTTATAACGATTAACATGCAGCTTAAGTCCCATGCCAGTAAAGCATAAAAGTCTGTGCTGCATTTTTCTAGTAATAAGGACAAAGATATTTTTTAACTACAGGTTAAGAACAACTTAAAGTATGTCAGGCTCTTCATCAGCCATAGAAAAGCGGGCAAGCCTCCCCACAAAGTGAAGTCCTCCTTACAAGTCCCCCTGTCCGACACAGCTGTGAACTGGGGCAGGCACTCCAGTAAACAGCCGGGAAATGGTTTCCCTCTTAACAGGAACCACATGAAAGGCTCCTCCCCAGATAGGATTATGGTCAGATCAGCATTTCAGTAGATTGTGATGGAGCACTGGATACCTACACCATGCTGTCTGAAATGCTCAGGACTGAGAAACAGAAATTGCATGTCCCATCAGAGCCTGCTGCTGACAGGTGCCATGCCAACCACGGAATTTTTCCTGTTGCAGAAAGCCCTTAAGCATCATTTGGCTTTTTACAGTTCAGAAGTATGTGAATGGAATTTTATTTTTATTTTCAAGTAGAAATAATAATTTTAACTGTATTGCCTTCTATAGCAACATGAATCCACAGAACAGAAGTTAAACATGCAATTGGAGAAAGGATTTAACACAATCTAGCATTTAAAACACTGGTACTCTTAATTCTTCAATTACAAAAGTAAAAACTGTATCTTAGGTTTCTTATGTGTCTAATAGTTATGATACATCTTTGTTCTACTTTGGATGTACTTCAGTACTTCAGGCAACAAAAATGTACTAACATTCCTCACCAAAAAGTAAAATTGTCTGCAAATACAGAGTGAATATCTGGTGAAGATTTTTGGACAATGTCCTAAGTAGGTCAGAAAAAGGTGTATAGTACTTTAAAATGTGTAGTTCAACTTAGCTTTGTACAATCTTAGAAAAACAGAGGGGATTACAAAAAGCATAGGAAATGATATCATCTGTCAAGCAGGGAAGGAACTTAAAAACCACAAACTGATTTCAATTAGAGCAAGCTATGCCAAGAGCTAATTTCCATTCCCACATGAAGACCAAAGCCATTTAAATAGTTTGAACTACATTTGAGATAAAAAGGTTAACAGTAGCTTATATGATGATTTTCGTATTATTTGTTCAAGTAAAAGTAAAGTATATTTCCCCATTTTGGGATAAGGAGTGGTTTTACACATAACACACACACAGAGTTTCCATAATTTGTCTTACTGCTTCTTAAAGGAACTTTTCCAAGGTAAAATATTTCTTCCTCCTTTTTAAACTAAAATCATTATGGGAGACTGCTGGGACACCCAGTCATCTTTATTAAAATGAGTCATTCAAATCAGTGAGCTTTTTTCCTTATAACCATGCAAGAAAATCAGTGACATACAGTCAGTAAACTAATCATTTATTTTCTGCCCTCTTTTGAGGGAATGTTGAAAATAGTATTTCCAAAATCATACAGACTATTCTGAAATACTACCCTTCCAAAAGTTTATAGAAACACATGCAAAGGCTGTCTGGAGCTCAGATGATGATTTTAAGATTGCATTTTTGAAAAGTAGCGTATTAATGCAGGTCCAGAGTCTCTTTTCTCAGCTGTATCAACAATTTCATTAATGTCAGCGGAGATATTCCAGTAAATGAAATAACCTGTTCCAAGGTATCACACTGACAGAGACTCAAGGAAAAAGCAGAGGAATTACCATAAGGCTAAATCAATGCATATAGTTTTGCCTTATCTCAGCATCCACAGGAAATGTTAACAACATTAATAAATTAATGCTTTTAATCAACTATTGTTCTCTTTCGGGTCCAATTTGTGAACAGTCTGCACTGGAAACTTCTGAAGTCAAAACAGGAGTAACTGCAGAAACATAGCTTTATAAACCCGCAAAAGAGCCAGCGAGACCAAATGCACCCACACATGCTTTGTGTGTGGGCAACATTTGCATTGTTTATCAAAGTGAAACGACAAGCTGCATCCTTAAGCATAACAGTTCCCGACTTTCTTAATAAATTCTCAGAAAAACTGAGCGAAGACTTCATCACACCAAGAGCACTATCACACCACAACCGCTCACGAAACGTTCGGGAGCTCACCAAGCAGCCGAAAGGTAACACACATACTACCTACTCTGCGATCCCAAACCAAAAAAGTGAGGCGTGAGGCTCTGCGATCCTCTGGTGGGAAAGCCAGCGGAGCCGCTTGCCCCGCACCTCAGGCCGTGGGCACTCCGCAGGGCGGCCGGCGGGCACCGGGAGGAGAGGCCGCCTCTCATCTCGCTGTGCCACTGCTGAGGAAACACTCCCAACCCCGGCCGTGCATGACGCAGGGCTTTGCCTGCCAGGAGCTGTAAACATGGAATGACGGTCTCATTGCATCCCAGATGCTCAGCGTGCTTTCTCTGTCGAGTGACTGACTCAGGAGAGAGATGGCAGCTGGCTCCGGGATGGGACACGGGCCTGCAGCCCTGCACGGGGTGCTGAGAAAACCCGCAGCAGCCTTGAAAACTCCAGAAACATTTAAAATTCAAGATCTTTTACCACCTCTGACAGCAGCAGAATACAAGGGAAGGGCTGAGCTCCAGGTTTTACTGCTGTTGAACGGACATCTCCCACACCACTCCGAGGAGTGGGATCCCAGGGCACAAAGCCAAGGGCCCAGGCTCCAGCTCCCCTTCGCAGCACGTGGTCTCTGAGGAAGACCTCAGTCCTCGGCTGCTGCCTCTGAAGCTGCTCGCAGGGGGAGTGGAGCAGGCCCCATTTTGCACTCAGGCGGCGTAACCAGCCTGCCGGAGGGGCAGACACTTGTTCCCACCAGCTGCCACCTCCAGCACCCACCACAGCTCTCACTGCCTCTTGCCACAGCTCCCTTCCTTCAGAGACAGCCGGATCAGCAAATGCCTTCCCTGTTTAGGCCAGCCCAAGCCATTCTGAGTAAAACAGGTTGGAAGCAAAACCAGTGGCTGGGCTCAGAGACACACCTGACCCATAACCCTGGGGACAGCGAGGGGGTGCCTAATGCTGAAGGAGAGACCCTCCTCCTCCTCACTCACCCCCCCGGCTCCCACAGGGGCAGAGCAGCAACTCCAACAACATGGCAGGATCGCAGGATATGTCTGCAGCACAACCAGGGCCACGGCTGCAGCACAAACAGGCCGAAGCGGCCGTGGCCCGGGTGGTTTGGGAGGTAGCAGCGGAGCAGCCACCACAGAGCTGGCGCAGGTGTAGGACATCCCCCCACACATGCACCTGCAGCGTCAGAGCCACCCACACATCAGAGCCAGTGGGGGGGATGCCTCCACACTTGGCAATCTTATCTCCAAGCCTCCTGTAAGCATACCCAAAAATTCACTAATTACACAGAAATAACCACTACTTAGCCAGCCAGTTCATTGATGTCACGAAAATCCCTGCTGAGAAAACCACCGGTTGATCTTTTCAACCACGAATCAGATTCCTAAAGCTGACTCGTAACCAGAAAAGTCCCAACAACTGACCTGTGTAAGAATCAAACTTGAAGGCTTTGTTTTGCTTTCCAATCCACATGCTTTCCAATCTGCATTAATTATTTGATTCCAGCAGACAACCAGTCTATAAGAGCCACCATGAATTCGGTTTCTGCCTATGGTTGTACATGCTATAATACTGATTCCTTAAGTACTAAAGACACACGTAGCTTAAAATATCCAAAAGACGACTCACACACCTCATATATTCATTTAATCCTGAGAAATCACGGTATTTTCACTCATATTTGTTATTTGTATTTTGAATGTGACAAACTTGTATCATCTAGTTTTGATTTTTTTTATTATTTTAATAAGTTTTTTCTTATTTGCTAAAATATATTATTAAAGTAAGGTTTCATGAATGCATATTCTGACAAAATATTAACTGTTACCAATGGGAGTTGACAAGTAACCCTTTGGTGTCAAACAGTATTTTTTATGTTTATGTTTACTTTGTTTCCTAATAGCAGATCTAAGTCCTTGTGGTCTATTGTATAAATACGCATTCATGGATTTTGTCTACAGTGGGATTTTGTCTACAGTGCCAACAAAGCAAATGACTTACAGAAAGTGTATGTTCTATAAGTCCTAATGAGGTGCTGGGTCATAAACATTATTACACAAGAGTGCACAGAGGCAGTAGAGTCTTTTCTCTCTAGAACAACTCAAGACACTTTTGCTTTCAGAATTGGTTTGTTTTAATAAATAAAGGTGATGTGACCACTTACACAAAATGTATCTTAAATTATTGCACCGATTAAACAAGATATAAACAATATCTTTCTTAAGCCAACTGCTAAGTCTATTTGTAAAGTGTTAATACTTATATCGTATACAGAAAAGCAACATTTAAAAGTGGGCAAACCTATATAGCAATGTAAGGAAAATAACGTCAGCACTGATTAAAGCTTACAATTAGTAGAACATTCATAGCTAGGAGAAGTAATTGTGAACAACCAAAACAGCTACGTCATATAGGATTTAGAAGCTGCTTGATTAAAAACTGTAGTAGAGACCTTCTGCACCAATTTATCTGTGCAACTCCAGTGAAGGCTAAAACTATGGAGATCAATGGTAGAACATTTCAGAAAAAGAACCACAAGAAGAACTGTAACTTTACTCATACTCTATTTTTCTTTTAAGTCTTGACTCATAAAATACTTCAGTGTGGCCTAAGAAAAAAATGAGGTAATACTAAGGCCCACTCGTTCCTGCCTTTTACAAAGGTGCCAAAACATGTAACAGATATATGTCTCCTTCTGTACCCTGAAGGGGACTTGGGAGAAGGTTATACTTTACTGGCTTACAGGATTAAGGTATATGCACCTGGTAAAACAGTAGTAGGAATGCAACACCACACACATTTGTGCAGCATTTTGCACCCTTCCTCCTTCCAGCAGTCTGGGAGCTCCGTAGCTCCATACCCTCCTCATGCTGGCCTCTCCCTAACAGACATCACAGGAGCCTGAGAAAGGGGTTGAACTACAAAGAACAATATTTACCATTTTAGTACATGCCATTCCATTACATTCCACAGTTGTTATTGTTTTTCCACTGTTATTGCACGAAAAGGATGCTAAAGCCACAAGCTGAAGTGGTCAGTTACGTGGGAAAACTCTTATCAACTAGGAAAGCAAAAAAAATGGCAAGGTAAAAAATACAGGGGCAAAGCAGACCACACACTGAGTCTGAAAAGATATTCAGAATTAAAAGGATGACCATTTTGCATAATATTACAGACATGAGCTGAGTGCATCCCTCACTGACTTCGTTAATATGTTGTTCAGATAGTTATGGGCATTTGTGGGAACCAGTTTCCCCCAAAATTCTTCCCAGAAACATAACATTTTATATAAAAATCAAAATCTTCTACATTTTAAGAGAGAAGCACAATACTCAAATGAGAATACAGTAGAGATTACAGCTGGCATCTCAGATATGAACTGAGATACTATCCCAAGCAAAATCCTACTTCATATCAGATACTCTACCCATGATTAGCCACTGAGCTATCTGGTTCATTGAATGAATTTAATTTTACTTTTTTTTTTCTGGATCTGGGGAACCTTCCTTCAAAACCTGAAATCCAAACATTTCTAGGAAAAGTCATCTCTCTGAAAAGTTTCATTTCCAAAGCATCTGTTTTTTTGTGATGAAAAGCTATTCCACTTAAAAACCTTGACTAGTTCTGTACCTCTAACACCTACAGAAGTATCACCTGAATAAGGTCAGCAATTAGATTCAGAAGATATGTATTGAGCCTGGCAAGGAACTGCTATAATACTTGTAGGCCTATGTATGTAAAATACAGCTTAATGTCTGGCTTAGTAACCCCCAAAATGAGAGCAGAATTACAAAGCAAGTCAAATTCAGCCAACTGTCAACAGTCATCTCTCTATCATTACAGCCTTTGTGCTGTATGTGCATGTATGCATGTCTAGCGCTGAACAGAGATAGGGCATTTTCCAGAAAGCAAGGAAGACTGGAATTAGTGTTACAAACTGGCAAATGAATATAGTTTCCAATAAAACTAATTTGGTTTTAATTTGGCCAAAAAGAGTGTCACCAATAGCTAGTCTCTGAGTCATTCTTCAGTTTCATCATAAGAGGCTACACTTTCTTTCCTGTGGTAAAAGTACATCTGGCGACTCAGAGCTTACTTGTCTTAAATATTGAACCACTGAACTATCTTACATACCTTAGTAGCTTCACAGACTCAAAAGAGCAGTATCAAAGACACAGAAGAAATACTTACTTGATTTTGAACCACAGGAGGGGGCTATCTGACCATTTGGGCATGTGCACATGTTTGGTCTAGAGCAAAATCCATCCCCACAGGAATGTCTGCAGATTGCTATGAAGAAAACATAAATGCCTTTAAAATATGTTTCAAAAACCCCAAACACATAAAAAACACATGATAGAAAATATGTATTCGGTACCATAACATAAATACCTACAAACTCATTAAATTGCATACAACAGATTCCAAAACAGTTCCGCCTGTTCATCTGCACCTCTATAGGGGACAGCTAAAATCTAGACCTTCACAATCTGTTATGAAAAGCCCTGGGAACATGCCACAGGCCACACTAAATACAGGGAGATTTCCTTAGAAAAGCGAAACTATGGTCCATTTTACCAGACTACTCTTGGAGGAAGGATGGCACTGAGGCAGCATTACAATGCTCCCTTTATTTCTGCACCAGACACACACGAGCGTAATAATTCCCATCTGACAGCACGTTGCCTCAGTATCTCTGGAGAGGGTCTTATCAGCCTTAGGCAAAGTGCCTTTAAAAATTATTTCTAGTACGTTGTACCATTACACACGAATATGCATACAGCACTATCATGTATGTATGCATATATTTATGTCCCTACATATATATTTCAGGGATATGGTCCAAACAAGCAGAGAAAATGTACTTGCTGGCCTGATGCTGTTGTCTCCTTCCATTTACTTAAATAGATTAACATATTCCACAGCTACCCGCTCCTGAGAGTCCACACACCCCTTGGGTCCCTTTACCACAGACTTAAACACAACATGTGGATGAGATTAATCCTTTGTTAAATACTGGTATCGCATCACTGTATTGTAGCCCACAAAACTTTGTATATTAGCTTAATATATTTAAAATGGTAAAGAAATGATGTATAGCTGCTATTGAAACCATATAGAAACACATTTCAGTTCTGGTATACAATTAAAAATACCCTGACATAGAGAGACAAAGATAAACCTCAGTCATAACACATTACTGGATTAACTTACGGACTATGCATTGGTTTCCACCAGGTAAAGTTTTCCATCCAGGGCAACAGTAAGCATTGTAACGTGATCCACACACATTTGGTCTGGAAAAAAAGGGACGAATTCTTATTTTTACTCAGAAATAAGTTTTAAAAGTAGAGGCATAAAAACGGAAAAAGTAAATCACTCCAATATACATTTCAATAATTAAATCTAGAAGTGTTGTATGTTTTTAGCAGAACTGTATGCCTCTGGTTGTTGGGTTTTTTAGGTAACATACACTTTTACAAATTGAAGATTACGTTATAAACATGACATGAAATCAGCAACATCTGAACAACAGGAAGAGAATGGGCAAACCTTGTCTCATATCACCCCATATCTGGAAAAGTAGCATACAGGGTTTTTGAGCAAAACTCCCATTTAAATACAAAATGGATCACACCCATCATCATCAGTGAACACAGAGGAAATCTAGTGCTCTTTGAATGACAATTTTTAAGCTTCATGTTGCTTTCTCTTCTTTATTCTAAAGCACTATTACTGTTCCCTGTTTTGTCCATGAGCAAAACGATGTATGTATGTATGAGTGAAACATGCCAACCATGACATTAGCTAAATAAATGAGCCAAAATATGTAAATGCTTCATTAGCAAAAATGACTTACTATCAAAAAAATCAAGGATGTGGGTGCACGTAGAGAGATAGGGTCCTGTTGAATGAATATGAAGGGCCTACTGCCTACTGCACTTCTTAAATGATGGATCCATAGGAATTTTTCTTTCCAACCCATTCCTCTCATCCACACTTACCCTTTCAAATAACTGTATCACTAGAGTTTACAATGAAAGCTGACAGGACATGACACCATTCCTATCGTGATTTTATTGGTAAAAATAGAAAAGTTGAAACGGTTCTATGCCCCTCACAGATAATAAAGCTTTTTTTTTTTAATCTAACTTGTCCTATTTATTTAATGCAACTATCCATGCAAGTAAAGCTAGTAAGAATAGCTTCAAAAATGGGAAAATGTGCCTCCTTTTGTTGTATGTTTAATAATCTTATCAGAGGAAAATTTTACAACCTCTATTAAAACTGTGAGCAATTACTCAATAGATTAATGCAACTAAAGCTAGCTACAAACTAGTACTTCCTAGAAACTGCTTTATTAAAATACTGTATACAGATTAGAGACAGATTTAAAGTGTTTATTGTTTTAGGAAGGGTTTTCTATTATTATTTTGTCCTTGGTCTTTCAAAAAGTTTTTCATCTCTAGTATTGCAACGTCTAAGTAAACAACAGTTACCTCATATGGAGAGGCAACTTAAGACAAATAATCTCGATATATACAAACATTTATTTATGCACGTTTTCTAACTAACAAGACTTTTATACGGTATTTATTTAGGGATCTGCATTGTTAATGCACTTTCAAGTATTCTGATTACACCAACTTCGGTGTAATCAGACACTTAGTCTTTTCATTAAGTGCTTGGCCAGAAACTACTTAAGTCAAAGCAAACACTACCATTACCTTCTACTGGTTCTGGATAATTACAAAGTGATAACCGAGGTGAATGTGAGCAACACAACTGGACTTGTTGCAGGGCCCTTTTCCCTTCCTGCAACTAGTGTTACAGAGTCAAAGTCTTATTCATATAATTCCAATGTATTCAGTTTTAGTAATGTCAGCTACTTCCCCGCAGGGCTATAACCATGTAACTTTCCTAGAGTTCCCTGTTCATCAATGCCAAATGTTGCTCCACGATCATCTGCCAAGTAAGACTGGCAAGCAGACAAGTGAGATTGCTTTTCACCTTCTCCAGTCAGAAGAAATAATGGAACTTACTAAGACAGACAGAATGGGTTTGTTGCTACCTGTTACAACCTACAGGCACAAACTACCCATTTCCGATCTGGGTTGGTAAGAATCTATAAACAGCTGACCATAAAGTGATCTTTAGGTACCCTGTCAAATTTCAGTTTCGGCAAGTACACGGCTTTGGGGACCATCTGGTCCAAGTTAAGAGTCAGGAGCAGATTTCTGTGCCATGGGGAAACCCGATTTTTAAAATCTGTTTCCAAAATGGGGCTCTGGAAAACGTAGATGCGCCAGCAACCATGAAGTCAGAGACCCTGGGAGCCCTGAGGCTGTCCACAGGGTAGGCTAAGCCATACACCCAAGAAGCTCCAATTCGGATGCAGTGTGCTTAGCTTTAAAAAAAAAAAAGTCATCAAACTGTACTTCCATGGAACAGTTCGAGTCTGACAAGTGCATTTTCCAGTGGAACACTTTTTCGTCAGAAAGCTGCTGTCTAGCTTATAAAAGAAACCTATATTAAAGTCTGAACGCTACTTGTTTGAGAGTGAGGGAGTGTTCTTTACTTGTGCCTATTTGTAAAATGTCTTTAAAAAGAGTTAATTTTGAAAGCTAAATTCATTGATATTTATGAGGTGATCAGACACTGCAGCAATAAATCCCCATAAACAAATAAATAAAGTATTCAAGGGAATAACAGTTTACCTCATGTAAAATCACGGAAACCATCAATCAAATTGTAAAGGCTCTATCACGGTACTTACTTTAAACAGTTACCCACTGGTGTGTTTAATAGAGCTGCTGATATTATAGGCTATGAATACTAAAGAAGCATTTTATATTCTTATAAAACTGTTTTCCTGAACAGCACTACAAACAGAGTTCAGTTATAAAACCTGATTTGTAATGGTAAAATAAGCAAAAATGCACCTATACAGCCCAAGCCACCTGTGGTGCCCACAGCACCTTCCTCTCACTCCAAAGCCCAGAGGAGGGAGAGAGCATCTCAGGAACGAAACTGTTCCCACTGCAATTTAAAAAAGACAAGTCTCTCACTTTATTCTAGAGTCACTTATGAACTTGTGAAGTATAAAAGGATTTTTGTAATGGTATGGTGCTGAGAGGCAGTATGACTGATGCCCAGAGTTTCATCAAAGATGTCCAAAATAAACAAGAAATTACGTCTTTGATTAATGATATGCAAGCACAAATTCAGCAGCAAAATGAGTTGAATAATTATCAAAAGACATTAGTCATCAACTAGAAAAGCCTTAGATCAGCAGAGAGAAAAAAGTTCATCTGGAAATTCTGATAACTAACGCTTGAGAGTGATAGGTCTGGCTGACAGCATCTGCGCGCACCAAACTAGAAGATACTCTTCTTCAGGAAAAAACGCAGAGAACCTCCACACCCCCGTTACGAAGTCAAGCTTTTTTTCCACCCGCGTGGGGATGGAGCCCGGGCAGGACTGCGGCATCAGCTCCTTCAGATGGACACACGTGGTCCCACCCCAGCTCAGCGCTGTGCTACCCCTGGGCTGTGGCTGCCGCACAGCCTCTGCCTGTCACGCGTTCTCAAATAAATGGTCTCCTTTCTCCACGGGGCAACACTGACATCACCTCACGGAAAGGACCAACGGGTCCATCCCTCCCTTGCTACTCCTGCTCCCAGTGCCCTGTCTCAGCAAGGACAAATGGCTGCCTGGCTCTCCCGAATTGCACGTGATTATCCAGCAACTGGGGGCAGATTTGTGGAGCAGGCACACAAATGTAAAATGATGGGAAGCAAATTATGCCAAGCTTGGCAGTGCCTTCTTATCAGATATAACCAGGCAGCGAGGGTAAGTGACAGCCAGAGGAGTGAAGGAGGTGTTCAAAAACCCTGTGTAAAGCCGGCAGCGGGGAACACCACCCAGCCCAGGAACGGCGGCGGCACCTCCAGCATTGTGGCTGTCCTCTCCAGGGCCCTGGCAGAGACACAGTCGGAGCCCCATGCTGCAGCCTGCCCGGGGGGTGTGCTAATTCTGTACATCCCTGCTCTGCCCTGCCTGTGACCCCTCGAGGAAATTACAGCCCTCTCCCGAAGAAAGCGTTGCCCATCTGCAGCTCCCACGGGAGGAAGAGTTTCTGGCATTGCTGTGAGCAAGGTTTCAGGCGGAAATTTTGTCAGCAGCACTGCCATGCACCGGCCAACGCTGGCGTAACCCAGGCTGAATCAAACCGAAAGCATGGGTCTCAAATAAATTAGACAGAGAGACTAGACGGAGTGGGCAGAGAGCGGCTGAGAGAGTAAGAGAGACAGCTGATCACCAGTTACAGCTGAGCTGAGACACAGAGATACTGCAAAGGGTTTATAATCGCTCCCTCAACTCACTTTTCCTCTCCCTAGGAAAACACACAGGGATTCTTCCTTGCAAGAAAACGTTTAATGAAGGACTTCTATTAACTATTTGGCTGCAGTGGCTAGCATATGTTTAACATAATGTAGGGACCCAATATTCTGGCAGAAGAGATACAATTTAAAGCAACATCATCAGCCAACAGTTATTTTTAGAGAAGCCTTTGCCTATTTTTCTTCTTACATGGGTAACACTGGTACCTGCTAAAACTGTACTCAGAATTATTTGCTGATCATTTCCACATAGAATTGGAGTGGTGCTTCCATGCTTGCACCGAGAGTTAAAAAGAATGACAAGCTGTACCTGAAAAAATGGCAGGCTGGTCTTAAAAATGTGGTTGTCTAAGTCTGAATATAACCAATGTACTAAGAAATAGTAGCTAAGGCTCCAGAATGTGAAGAGGAGTAGCTTTTACTAGTCATTTTCCAGAGACACATGACCAGATCTATACCTTTTGCTGTAAAACAGCTTTATGTACCTTCCTGAACTTCTCAGCATCTCAGAGTAAATGCTAAAAGCACGGACTGGCCCAGCTCTGCTGACTCCACTGGAGCTCTACGCAGCTTTCCCATTGAATCAAGAATTTCCACCCTTAGAGATACTCCAAACTTTAGTGGACATGGCTATGAGCAACCCAATTTAAGTTCACCCTGCTCGGAGCAGGGGTTGGACCACATGGCCTTCCAAGGTCCCTCCCCACTGAAATGACAGAAGCCAGGTACTTGGTGCACAAAAGCACCTCCTTCTGCTGCACTGGCGGCTACCCCCTCCTCCAAGGAGCAGCAAGCAAAGCAGAACCGGGAAGGGAAGGTCCGGTTCCCAATGGGACGCAGCAGCTCACAGCTACGGCACATGACGGGCAGCCCTCCCAAGCCACCTGCAACCCTGACACATACCTCTCCGCATATGAGAGCCCAGTGAAGAAGCCTGGTTGTCCTTTGACCTCACCACTTCCAGTGAGCACATCTCACTTTCCGGTGAGAAACTTAACTATGTGGATGGGATAGAGCAAAAAAACACGGACACAGGTCTGCATTTAACATGCATAAGCCTCATTTCCAGGTACCCCAAATACTCCAAATACTTTAAACAGGGATTGCTTCTCTGTTGTTTAGCTAAATATTAGAAAACGGGATGTTTTTAGTCACTGTGCCCTTTTCCATCATTCAGTGAAGATTAAGAGGACTCTTGAAGCTATTTATTTCAATCGTATAAAATGAAAATCTAGGAGACAATGCTAGACTCTGAAAGCAAACACAAAATTTAGCTTCTATTATCCTATAAAGGATAAGCATCCATTTTTAAGCAAAATATATTTTTTACATACAAAGGATTGCATCTGATGTACTCATTTTTACCATGCAATAAGTCAGCCTGGATGTCTGTGCCATGCAGAGAGCCTAATATGATAACTATTTCTCACTTTGACAGTAAGGATACCGCTGTCCCAGAATCCTGGCTCAGTTCAACTAAAAAAATAACATGCTGAGCAGCTCTACGGGTATCTTTGGCTCCGGCCTATGTGCAAGTCAAGAGTTCAAAACGACATGCAAGTTTCCTGCAGCAACACTGAACACTTTTCTAACCCTAACTTCCACCACACTGTGAAAGCTAAATACAGCAATCCAACAACAGCATTTGACATTAAGTGAATTCTTCCGCACTTGCTCTGAAAATCTGACAGTGTTTTTTGCTGGGACAGACTCATCTAACCTGACAGCCAGGCATTGTTCTCATTCATAGCAAGGGACAGACGCGTTTCAGGCACGTATTCCCTCACCATTCCACGTGAGAATGTCAATGGGTCCAGTTTGACACCCAATCTACATGTCTACATACGACACGTAAAGTATAAGTATGCCACCACAAAAAACTACCTGCTGGGCCAGACAAGCATGGCTGGTAAACAGGAGGGACCCAGCAGGTACTTTCTTAAAAAAAAAAAAAAAAAAAAAAAAAAAGGTAGGTGCATTCAGAGGACAAGAAATCATAGCCTTTCTACCCTGGTAGCACTAAATAGCATCCCATGGGAAACAGATGTAACTTAGCTCTCCAGATGTCTCTTCCAATGGGTGAACAAGGAGAGACCAGTTTACACCTCCTGCACCACTTCCCACACTCACCGTGTACCTGCTAATGGCTATCGATGGAGGTAGACCTCTAACAATCTCCCAAGAGCAAGCACACAGGCAGGCTCAGGACCTCTGCCAGCCCATGCTGTGCACTGGGATGAGCAGCAGCCCAAGGGCTGGCGTGGGGCACGCTGGCCAGCCAAGCCCCAAGGCTAGCCAGTCCCTTGTCGAGGCTTTCCCAGAGGCTGCGGGATGAGCTGGTGCTACCCACCGTCCCCACCTTGGAGCAATGCAAGCATTTAGGAGTCTCATAAACCTGACACTTTATCAACACTTGTCAGTGAACGCCCTTAGGTGCTAAGCAATGCCATCAACTTGTGTTTTAAAGTGCTCTCCCTTAGGCTACTGCAAAATTTATTTTAGGTAAGATAGCAGCGTTTCTCCTCCTCCCTTCACAACACACTGTATCCTACCCTCTGCCTCTCTTCTTGCTGGGATAGTGATACTGCCTTCTGAAAAGGCCAGTTACCTGCATGTCTGCCATAAGGCAACCCTGTTGATATGGGTCCCACTGTTTTAGTTCACCTTGTCCCTAGCAGCCACTGGTAATTTACTCTGTATACAGGGAAGAGAAAAAGATGAAAAATCAGAGGGAAAAACAAAGAAGGAGAAAAGAGACAGGAAAAAAATGTTCCTGAAAGGAAACAAATTTTAGTTTGAAACCTCAGCTGAACATCACTGGATATTCTGATGTCCTCCAGCAAAACAGAGAGAGGGAAGCTTGAAAAAGAGGATGAAAATGATTAAGACTGTAGACAAAAGAACTGCGGCTTTCATTTGGTATTTCTGAGGCTTTAATGGTCATGAATCATTTCATAAAATGAGAAGTAGAAAGGAAAACAACAGATTCTCCAGAAAGTCAACATTCAAAATATTCTTCCAGATAAAAGCTAGAACTCCTTCATACTTCAGTGAAGATCTATAAGCAAAACCAGAAGGCACAGGTTTTAATTTAACAGACTACATTTTACCTCCCAAAGTACCTTCCAAAGAAGAGCCCAACTTTACTGAACTGTCACAAAAAAAGCAATTGAATCTTCTCGTGCCCCTATCTGCACACCTTAGCATGAATGAGGCTGTTCAGTAGGTCTGAAATCCTTAAAAAAAAACCCAAAACACACTGAAGTTGGAAAGTCAGAATGGATGAGAAAACAACCAAAGGAGACATCCGCAATACAAGGGCAAAGAGCTACAAATACATTTTCCAGCACAGTGTGATGGTTAATCAGAAACACTCCAGGCCACAATTGTTCCATTCTACAAAAATATTTACTGAGTCTGGGGAGTAAGACCATAGTGACACACATGCATCTATACCCTCTTCATTCAGGGAGATGAAGAAGAGGAATGAGATGGAAAGTGATCTTACTGTAAAGCAAAAAAGCTTATGATTAATTTCTTACTATCTCCATATGTACACATTCAAAGATCCCTAGCTCCTAAGGTCTTGTTTAAGTAGAGGTGGCCTCCTATTAGCCAATGTCTACTACACTTCTACCAAGAGGAAGTATTCCTGGTGATCCATGTGGCTAAATAGTTTGGGTCTTGCATTTTGGGTAGTACTATTCTAATAATCACAGACTGCTGAGTCCACGAACGTATTTAAAGTGACCCTTGTCAAAACTCGTATTGAAGTTCATATATAAAACATTCATGTTTGCAGGACGGAAGATGAATGACAATGAAAAAGACTGTCCTAACCGAGCAGCACCGCTGAACAACACACCACGGGAAAGGAAAATAAGCATACAGGAAAACAGAAGCTGCAATTTTATTCAATAAGGATCGCTGTAAATGAAGCTGACAGATGGACTGTCCCTGCCAAACCCTAACCCAGTGATCCTCCCAATGCTCCCAAATAAACTGCGAGCAGCCCTATGCTTACTTCAAGTCTGCATCCTCAAGCCCAGTAGAGTCCCAAAGGTTCTGGCACAGCAGTGTGAAGTT